TTTTATGAAAATGGTTCATGAGAAATAAATATATTTTTTGCTTATCTACTCTGAGTAGACTGTGACGAGGCCTCCATGGGTATATAAAAGAGGAGCGAGAGGGTGCATGGGCTAATTATAACCCTTCTCCTTGTGCAAGGCTAACTGGTTGTAGTGGCAGAGGTCTCCCCAAAAGGGAAGGAGAAGGGAAAACTGGGCCACAAACATGCTTCCTCTCCCTCCATATTAGCCAGCAGATCTAGGCCAGCACATGAGGGATTACATGCTACATCCTGTAAAGGCGGGAGGCAGAGACTGCTCTGTTCCCCCAGTGCTCCTAAAGGCATAATGCCTAAGTCAAGCACAACCATACTGGAATATTGCATTTTTAGCTGCCACCCATAGTTGCTTACTTCCCACAATCTTACCCTAATGTGTAAAATATATCCATGTATTTTCTCTGTTTCTCTCATGAGTAGCCTCGTCAAACTTTCCTAAGATGCACATATCAGTTGAAGTGGCTTTGTTTAATATTAACATATTAATATCCTGATATTTTATTTCTCAAGTGTTCCAATAAGACACTTTTGTTTGTCACTCCTAAGTGTTATGCCAGGGAAGTGTGTAGTCTGTAGGATCAGTAGGTTAAAAACATGTTCCCATATCATGTTACTGCTGAAACTGCATTTACATACAGCTTAAAAAAAAAAATCAAGTGAAGGGGCAAAGTTTAAAAAAAGCTGAAAAAAGCCACAGTTACCTGCATTATTTTTCATTTTGCTTCATACTACTGTGCATTTTATTTCATAATATATGCATCCTTCTGAGCAGCATTTGATGTTAGACCTGCAGCCTAAGCCAGTATGAAATTGACTAGCAGCTCCATGAAGCAAGTGCCTAGGGCTGCCTGAATTTTTTTTTTCTAGAACCCTCTCCACCCCCTCCCACTCCTCTCCCCCCCCACACAAACAGATGCACTTACTGATTGATTTAGAAGGAACTTTAAATTTTAGTTTACTAGTGTAATTAAAGTTTGAATAGATTTCATAACTAATTAACAGACCTCATTGTGAGACTGCCAGATACAGTTCTTTAATAGAAAAATTTAAATGTTAGATTAATAATTTTTTCATGCTGGTGTCTACTCTGTGAGCAGTCATTCCTTTCCATTTGTATTTGGTTTCTAGTTTTGAGAAACTTTGTGACTGATAATTTTTTAGGAAGTTTGAGTTTAGATTGCATGAACTTTACATGTTCCTTGGGGAATGTATTGATTTTTCTACTTGTAGCAAAAATTATTCTTAAATTAGCTGGTTCTGGATAGCCAGAGACTGAATACTGGACTAGATGGACCATTGGTCAGATCCAGTATAGAAATTCCTATATTGTTGGGTTTTTTTAAAAATAACCACGTTCTAGAATATATTGTCCCCTAGTATCATGTTTATAACCTGTTGGGAGAGGGGATCACGTGCTAATTGGCTTTTTTAAAAATAAGGACAAAATGGATAGAGGAATTGGAACAGAATGAGAAGGAATGAAGGAACAGTACGTCTGTCTGCATGGCAGCGCATCTCAGAGCCCGGCTCTATAGCCTTGGGCTTGCGCTATAGTGCTAAAAATAGCCATGTAGCCATTTGGGTTTGGGCTCTATATCTTCAGGAGAAAGGGGCTTTCAGAGCCTGAGCCTGAACGCCTAGAGTTATTCATAGCACCATAACTCAACCCTGAGTCTAGAGCCCTGGGCTCAGACTCAATGCTGTTTTGTTTTGTGTAGACATACCCAAAAGCGAACTTACCACTCAGAGTGTTAGTGAAATGTATTGTGTTATTACTTTTTACATTTTATTCTATTTCTATGGGAAATGGCCAATAGCGCTGTCAATTTTCAAAGCAGAAAAACAGGGGTTGGTTGCAGAATATTGTTGACAGCAGGACTCTGGTCAAATTGCTGTTAATGTTTTGGCATGTATTGGAGCTAGATCAAGAGCTAAGTGCCAGCAGAAAGCATTCCCCTTCAAAACCTGTCAAACCATAACACTACTGAGTGCTTACTTCAAGTTGGAGAGGCTCTGCTGTTTTGTAGCTTGTAAATGAGATTTAACATGACCACAACATTTTTCATTACAGTTCTTTATAATATTTCTTGTTGAAAGAGCTCAGCCAGATCTATCAGGTTCTAAAGGAATAAAAAGTCACTCTGGCATTCATACACTCCTACAGATGATAAATAATTAGACAAATTACGTTTATAAACTCCCAAGGAGATTTGTAATTACAAAAAGTAAATTCAGTGTTGGTTCAGAAGTTCTTCGCTTTGTACCTTCTCGCAAAAGATACTTCCTTTTCCTGATGTGTTCACTTGACATCAAGTGCGTATAAGATAGTCCATGATGCAACATTCTTATAACTCTGTTTACCTACAATTTTGTCAATTAACAGCTATCACAAATATACTTTCCAATTTTGCAAACAGGTTCATAAACTTTTTGTTAAATTTTTTACACAAGGTGGATTTATAGGTGGATCTACCCAACACTTTCTCTTTTTGTACATGATTCATAGCTTCCTTTCTGCAACTTGAGATGGAAATCTATTTACAGTGTCTTCCTTTGGATCTGCAAATACAGTGAAACTATTCTATGAAACCTCTCAATACATGGTGTAGTCTGTGTGTTTAGTGGACTGGGCATCAGTAACTTTATTTGTTAGCAAGAACTCAGATATTTTATTTCACTGTATCATTAAGTCACTTAATCACGCTGGGCCTTAAGTTTCCCCATCTGTAAAATGGGGATAGTTATTTGAGATCCTTGGATGAAAGGCTAAGTGCCAAGCATTATTCAATTGCTTATCTTAAAAAAGGCTAAATCTGTCAGATCCGTCTCATATTTCTTCTCTGTATTCCATGAGCTATGATACAATGGTCTTGTCATTGAGTAATGTTTCAGTTGCAAATAAATTTACTGAATAGCCTTGTGATTTCCTTTAATGTAGAAAGTAGCAACTCGGTATTAAAGAAAGACTATCGATGCAGTAGCTACTAAGAATGGAATAGAATGTTAAAAGATAGAAATATTTGTGCTTAAAGTTAAGGGCAAATAATACATTTTACCATGTTAGCATAGGTGTATTTAACATTAGAAAATAATACATATTATTTATAATAGTGCACTAACTCCTGCATGAGAGAATTATCTTGCACTCCAATATATTTTCTCATTCCATGCCTATAATCCATTTCATAAAAATACTATTTAAAACTAGGCCTCAAAGATTCAGAAAGAACAGAAGCTCTATCCACCTACTCAAAACAACTGTTTTTAAATTAAGTATTAAAACAACATATGTCTGAGGTTAATAGAAAGGAGGAAATACTATGAACCGGATCAAAAGTTCATTCAAGTTGCTGTAAAAACTCCTACTGACTTCAGTGGACTTTGGGATCAGGCCCTGTGAGAATATCACATTTTAAATATTTAAAGTCTCAGTGGTAAAATTTTTAAGCTGCAAAATCTGTTGCTGCATGACTTTTAAATATGCTTTCTTCCAACACAGAAAATGAGTCAACTGAGTGGTGATCTGTGGAGGAATGTTACTGTTTGTTAGTGCTGCAGAAGTCAAAATTAAACCACTAAAACTAATCAAACACAGGAGATGCATCAAACTGCTATTTGTAATCACTTCCATCTATTTTCCAGATTTTTTTTTAATGTTGCAATCTAATTATGATTTATTTTTAGTATGAGTTATAAATAGCACTATTTCAAGTGAATTACATCTTAACCATTCATGAATGGAAAAAGTGTGACTTTTCTCAAGTATTTATCTGGTGATTTCTTATTTAATCAGACACATCTCTGATTAACTACTGAGTTATGATAGTTGGCAACACAACAATTTTAACATCTATTTTCTTTTTATATATTACTGATGTATTTGGATTAACACTGGAGAGCTACAGTACAACCAAGCATCTCAACTAGTGCAGGCATTTTATTAACATTTTCCTTTAAACTTTTCTTTTGTCATTACATTTCATATCAGAAATAACTTTTTATCCCCTCAGGCAAATGAAATGTTATTCAGTGGAAGGAAGTTGACTGCGCAGGAAGCTTGTGCAAAAGGATTGGTATCTCAAGTGTTTTGGCCGGGAACATTCACACAGGAAGTAATGGTTCGAATTAAGGAACTTGTCACATGTAATTCAGTTGTAAGTTTCATTTTATTTTCTTCCATTTTATAAATAGATTAATAATGAACGACATCATTCACTCATCTTTCTAGAAACAATTTGCATGGCATACTTGAGATAAATTTATGTAGATTGGAGCACAAAGTTTTAATAACGCATTCCAATATTATTAGGCTCATCATTAAAGAATAAAGAGGTCAAGGAGAGAGGCACCTCTCAAATTATCACATGCTGTAATAGATTCTAGGATTGATAACACAAGGCAAAATCTAAGTTAAGAGTATACTCCACATAAAAAGAGACTAATACTAACTCACTCCAAATTAAAATAGTTGTTGCCATAAGAACTGAGCAGAAATACAGAAATGAATGGCAGGTGTATTTGGGGGGGAGGGAGGAGGGGAGGAAGAGAAGAGTCTTTGCTTTAACACCACAGTGTGGCTAACTCCTCTGTGTTTAACAGTAGCAATAGTGTAGTCCAGGGGTAGGCAACCTATGGCATGCACGCTGAAGGCGGCACGTGAGCTGCATTTTAATTTAATTTTAAATGAAGCTTCTTAAACATTTTAAAAACCTTATTTACTTTACATACAAAATAGTTTAGTTCTATATTATAGACTTGGAGAAAGAGACCTTCTAAAAACGTTAAAATGTATTACTGGCACGCGAAACCTTAAATTAGAGTGAATAAATGTAGACTCGGCACACCACTTCTGAAAGGTTGCCGACCCCTGGTGTAGTCAATAAAATCAGTCAAAAAACAAACAACACTGAAGTTTCCAAATTTGGATGGAAAATAATCCATGATTTTTCCTTCATCTCAACAGCTGGCTATAAATACTAATAAAACCAGGGTGGGGTGGGGTGGGGGAGGAGAATTTTTTAATCATATTTAAGTACTAATAGTCTCAGTCTCTTAATGACATACCTGCTCAAAGTAGCTTTTGGGGTCAGCACTTCATTTGCCCTAGAAAGAAAGAACAGACTCCGCCACTTTCACATCAAAGAACCACTTACACAATGTAACTTAAATATTTACCAACATTTTCATCACACATCAAGAGACTAATATAAATATACCTGTACCTAAGAACCATGAGTATAAAATTCTGGACACTCCGTTAAATTAGGTTTAAATTCTCAGAGATGCACATAGTAAGAAGATATAGGAGCCATTCTGCTCCTGCCCACAGGTGGCAGTTGCTCTCCTGCCAGCTGGAGTTTTACCAAAACGTAAAGTATGTTTTAAACTACTGGATAGTCACAATCTTCACAACAAATCAACATCAGTTTCTGCTCTTATGAAGTCTTTGTTTTCGGAGGAGGGCAAAAGAATTGTCTAAAAATCATCAATTTTAGCATTTAAAAGCAGCCTATGAAATTTTACTTGAAAATTAAAAAAGCTATTTTTTAGATGTAAGGTCTACCAGGTTATAATTCGGACAATCCTGGAAAACACAGTGTTGTGATCAGAATTTACCAAGTTGTTATAATGACTTCTGTCTCTTTTAATACCATCTATAAAATCTGGTTCATACTCAAATATTTCCACTTTTATCTGGCACAGAATGAAGAAGCTCCTGTATTTACTTTATGGAAAAGTAACTGTTCAATGTGGGACATATTGTCCCCTAGATTCATGTGCATAATTTCTCTTAGCAATATTGGGATTTGCCCACGTACATCTACAGGTGACTATTCCACTTTACTAACAAACATTTAGCACACAGATTACTAATATCATTTGTGGTTTTTGTGTTACAGGTGCTTGAAGAATCCAAAGCTTTAGTCCGTAATATCATGAAGGTGGACTTAGAACAAGCAAATGACAAGGAGTGTGAAGCTTTAAAGAAAATCTGGGGCTCTGCACAAGGGATGGACTCTATGTTAAAATACCTGCAAAGGAAAATCGATGAATTCTGATGAGATGTGCACTGACACTGGAATTGTATTTACCTGGACATCTGGGGCATAAAAATGCCCCAATTTTATTTTGAAAACCTGTTACCAAGTCACCCATAGCTCAAAGCTTGGGGATGGGATTGGAAAGACCCTCACGCTTATTGTCAAGGGGTTGTAAAGTACTGTATCTTAAAAAAGAAATGAACAAAAAAACTCTCCCTATATATATATATATATATATATCTTTATATACACAAACTAAAAATTATAATGGAGTGCACTACCAAACATCTCTTTGAGGCTCTAGTTTTTGTTATCATTGGCTAGTACTGTATCAGAAAGAATGCGGGGGGGGAATGAATTGTGTTGTATTATTTTCTGTGTGGCAGGGAAGTCTGAATAATGCTTCCCCCCCTTCACTAAAATACAGAATTGAAACGGGTATTAGCCAGCCCCTACTTTCACGGCCCAACAAGTGGCTTCAGATAAGGCATTGTCTTGATCTCAGAAGAAGGTTGAAATACCTCAACTAATGGAACATTCTAATTTTGTTTTGTTTTGTTTGAGAATAAAACCCTATAATGAAAGATTTAATTAGATAAATATCCCAAAAAGAGTGTGCTCAGGAGCTATGCTAAGAAAACACTCAACCCCTTTTTGGGGGGAGGGACATGTCTAATTCTTACTTAGATAGCATAAAGAAACCACTGTCTCTTGGGGGGGGGAAGCTTGTTTTGCAGTATTAGTGAATCACTGAATATCTTATGTATATGAATATCCTAAGTTATAAGTTAGTTTTAGTGTTTTTTTAAATAGTTTTGATTTTTTTTAATAACTACATAAGTGCTTCTGTTGCTGGGTGAGAATACTACTTTCTACACAGTATGGTTTTTTTTCTATGTGCTGGATTAATTGATGTATTACACCAAAAATGCATTTTAGGTTCACTTAGAATATATTTTATTTAAATAAGTTAAAATTCTTTTGGCACACTATTACATACAAAAACTCCTTTTATAAAAAACTACCTTATAGTAGATGTTTAATGTTCTTTGTCTATGCTTTTTTATTATTTTAAATATACACTATATATACACAATATGGTGTAAAAGAGTGCCCTCTGTAAATAGACCTATTTTGCATTCCTTTCAGGACTGGTTACTGATTCCTGACTGCAGATATCTACTATTACTTGGGTATCTGTGCTTGCAATCTTATTGAATGTATTATGAAGAATGAAAAATCAAACCTTATTTTTGTACAGTTTTGAAGTTTATACTTGGAACTGACCACCTCCCTTCCTAGTGGAGAGCTGTACAGTATGTAAATTGCTTTTACCTTGGATTGGTACAGTATTTTTGCATCTGTGGGACCTACTTTTGTTCTGGTAGTTTGAACTATATATAAACTGTACAATCTGTAAAGTTTTTATAGAATAAATATTCAGCTGTGAAAATTGGTTAAAATAAAACTAATATTTCTTAACACATTTTAAATGGGTTTCTCTCTCTGTCCTCTTTTTCAAAGATAAGCTTCCAAGATAAAGGAGTCTCCTCTTTTTAACAAACCCTGTAAGTGATGGTATTACAGCAATGAAAGGTTAATGCTTTAATCTATTACATTTTCCCCTC